AAGGCCTGAGGGATCTCTACTGTGGCCGAATCATCGTTGTATAGCTACTCACTTTCTTTCCATAGTGCCCTTGGAGGACGTCTCCCCTACATGATTCCAATACCACACCAACCTGAGATGCTATATTGGTATCAACGACACCGCAATCAGTGAGAGCTGTATGGAAGTCCTGACATACACAATCGAAATGGTAGTCAGATAGAGGGAGGAAGCGATGAGCTTGACTGATGGAAATGGTCGTCCTCATCTCCTCGAGATGCAAACCATCGAAGACAGAATAGCAGCTGACCTTCGCGACAAGATAGTCAATTAATGGTGGTATGATACGAGCAACAACACAGACAGTTGACTGTTGAGATGTTGATAGGCTTGTAGGGGCATGAGGACGTATGGAGGGAGAGGTAGACTGACTAGTCGCATTGCGGATGTAGTAAGCTCTTATACGGGTATCGGCACCAATGAGTTCAACTGTCCTGTTGACAAGCCTTGTTATACCCTCAACTCCACCAAGTAGGCCCAATAGGGAAATAACCGGGGATCTATGCTCCTGTTGTTGGTTGACTGCATCATACTGGCATTCAGTAGAAGGATACAGAGTTGTGGTAGGGGTAAGACAGAAAGATAGTAGTGGTGTGCATGTATGAAGAGCAGGATACGACGTGGTGGTAGTAGAGACTGAGTCCAGGCAACTGAGGAGAAGATGTATTGACTTGAACAAGAGTAGACTTACCAAGTGGTGAATGATGACGACTCATGCGGGCAGAGATGATCTTGTCCACTCTGGTGTGATGATGATGTAGGAATACTCCTAGACCGTGTTGACGATGCTGATGACGATGGCGATGATGATAGTATAAGAGGAGTAGATGTATCAATGATAGCGCGCATGGCCTTGGCTATGTCCCTGTTAGTAGGCTGATTATCATTAACCGTCACGGCTATATCCTGGGACACCATAGCAAAGTTCTCCAATAGGGCCGATAAATGATACTCAGTAGTAGGGAGTACAGCGAATGCTGCTGTATCATAGGATGGTGAGGTGAGAGGTGGGAGTAGGAGGTATGTCTGATGATCGACTACTAACCTAAGGTATAGTCTATTCTTACCAGATACTGAGCCTCCGATGGTGTAGTAGCTAGAAGGCTGTGAGCTAGTATATGCATCCAGGCACGCTTCACTAGACTTGGGGGTAGCTGCATCTGCTGCTGCTGGTGAGCATGGTCTACCGAGAGGGATAATAGGGAAAGAGCAATGTGTGGTTACCTGATTGGTCGGGCTGATAAGCTAAGAGTCGCATACGAAGTCTTGGGTCATTCAAACCTAACACGAGGAAGGCTCCGACTACATATGAGACACACGCATCACTACTTCTTCTCCACAACCTATCTACTATCTCTCCTAGTAGGCCAATACCACCATAGGCACGAAGTAGCGTTGTTGTTGGTGTTGGGACCTGATGAGTGCTACTATTCAAGTATAAATAAACCATCTATGACTTTAGGTGTATGGTCCTTGAAAGGCAGCTCGTCCCCTTCACCCACAACCGACCCGTTGAAGGCCGCTACGTGACCAGTATCGACCCCACTAGGGCTAATGTCATCAAGTAGTGCCAAGACAGGTTTATGAATCTGCTAACGAATATCCATTCGCTAACGGTGACAGTCTCTAACCTTCCCATCCTCCTCTACTGAACCTTGGAGCCGATCTTGTAATAGAGCTACAGTACTGGGGACTAAGACAGCAGCGCCTATGCAAAGGTAGGCGTAGTGACAGTACTGGGATTGTTATCCCCCACACCTCTCATACTGATGGTACTACTCCTGGGCCTATTAGCTATACCATTTGTTGATACCCCTTCAATGGGTATACCCTCTGGTGTAGATGGAGAACAGGGGCTACGATCGTTATGTCCATAACCCATCATGTGATACGACGGGAAGGCGGCTAACCAGAGTGCTGCTTCAAGGAGCACGTAACCCCCCGTGAATTGATTTCCCATGACTTCACAAGCTTTTATAAGACGATAATAGAAACACAAATGCCTCAAACTGCAACATGGGGGGGAGGTGAAGTGCTCAGATGCCTTTATTGTAGACCACAGTAGATGATGGAGTTATTCCTGCAGGACCCCACCGAGAGAGGGCCTCCTTTTGGGCCTGATGACATAGGATATCACCATACCATGAGAATAACACCACCACCTCATCCTCTAGCTCATCAACCCTCATTGCGCCTTCTTGGGGGAACAAGGCTACTGCTGCTGGTAAGGCGAAGGCGAAGCATAGTATGGAGAGGATAGCTGAATAGAGCTAGGGACTCGTGAGCTCATAACCATCCACTTACACATCCCTATGATATTAGCTTTGGTCCCAGGCAAAGCTGCTGTTGGTACGAAACGAGTCCAGACACCACGATGTAGAAGGGGTGGTAGAAGTAGTACTGGTATTGGTAATACAATCCTGACCATCCACATGATGGAGTAAGTGAATGGTTAGGGTACCTTGTGATGATAGTATCCTTAACAGCCCTTCTAGCAGCCTCTTTAGATTGGATGCTATCCTCAGATGTATCGATAGCCCTCCGCACGGCTATACCAGTGGACAGCTCATGCCACCTCATGAGGAGCACTAAGGAGGTGGTCTACAGTGCAGAGTGTGGTTACAATGGTCCTTACCAGAAGCAATGTTACCACCCATGACTGCAGGGAAAGGTATTAGAGTTCTAAAGAAGGCTCCGGCATTTGGTGTCAACATACGGCCAAGGCACTTATTGAGGAGTAAGCCTAAGAACACCGAGCGATGGACATCCGGCATGCTCTATCATGGACACTACCAAGACCCATACTAGTCGATACAGCGCCAATGTACCCCATTATGACCGTCGCTGGGCCTCCTTCATTACGTTAGGGTCTTTACAGCTGACCTCTGCACTAGCATTACGGTTAGCATAGTTGAATAAGGCATTATGACTTTGGTTGATGAACTGCCATACCGCAGTACCTGTGGTCGTAGTGGTGAGACGGTCTTCTATGAATGGTCCTACCCAATGTGGGGTTATTACGGAACCCAGCTAGTGTTAGCATCCCTATCACAGGTATTGATCCGAAAGATACGAAACCAGCCATACGCAGAGGTAATAGAATAGTCTGTGTGATGGAGATACAATAATGGAAGGCGTTGTATGAGCATTACCTCACCAGTGTCAGGATGGACTGATGCCTGTACTATCCTCTTAGCTATAACTCTATCCTTAGCTGTAATCACACTCGATTTACCATCTACTATGCTACGAGCCTCAGTAAGGGTCTGCAAGGAGGTAATATTGAATACGGCACGAGTCACCCTCCCTACCATGCCAAAGAATGTCCCTGGTGCCATGGTCCTTGGGTCCGTCAAAGACAGGAAATGTCTATAGCGATCGATATATGATCCTACTGCACCACCAGTTGCGCTATTGGATGTCATGACAACTCAAATTCAACGGGAAGTGATGACTGTCGAAGTGATTTTTAAAAGTAGCGCTCGCATTCGTGAACGATTGCAGAAAGGAGCAGAATTGATTTAAACACTTTCCCTTCCCCTTGTGCCATGACAACAATTAATCCGTCTAAGCTGGATTGGTATCAGACAGCTGATACCGTTACAATAACTATCAAGCTAAAAGGGGTTGATCCAAGTACTGGTGTAGATGTTGCGGAATTTAGTGAGAGGTAGTGAGAGCCACCAGAGGCAGAGAAGTTAATTCCCTTTTTATACAGGTCAGTGAGGGTAGGCATCAATCATGAGAATAAAGGGAGGTAATGCACGATATGTAGCAGCTATGACGTAGTAACTCTTCAGTATTGAACACTACCTACTACAGTTGGACCTATGGGGCTCCATAAAGGGTGATAAGGCAACATACGAGGTAACACCATATAAGGTGGTGTTATATCTACCTAAAGATGACCAACAACAACAATGGTATTATGACCACTGTGGGTGCCATCTTCAACACTCACTAACCCAGGCCTTCCCTTCAATATGATAAGGGCTCTAACAGTCCTCGTATAGTGTCGACTACTTCGTCATCATCATCAACAACAACAGTGCCTGCTCCTAAGGCGGATAGCACTAGTAGTAGCTATCCCTCCTCATCTAAAGTAGTACTCACTAACAGCTGTTAGCTACAGCTTAGTATGGTTGAGTAGGTGCATCGGGACTGGTCAGCTATAGACAAGATGTGTGAGGAGGAGCTCACGGGGAGAAGGAGAATGGCGATGTAGTGATTTAATCAGCACTCTTCGATCCTTGGTCTATAGCTGCATTGAATGCATTATTCCGTCAATATACGCCGGTGCTGATGATATACTAGACGGGCCATGGTGAAGAGCTTTCAGACGTCTGGAGGTGGGATGTGCTCGTCCCTCCTCCCCTTTACCCCTCCTACTAGGTACTGTACTGTCAACCAACTGGGATGAGGTTGGTAAGGCTGATTATGAAGGGAAGGACAGGTACTAGAGATGGACACGTATCCCAATATGTATTCCATATTCAGACCGGATGCCCCGGATGGTCAAGAGTGGCGAAAGTGGTAGTAGCCTGATGACATCTCCTATACGGACTGATTAATATTTCATCTTCGTGTGTGCAAATTATTCTTCTGAGCCTCTTAAGCCTTTCGTTGTGCTCACAACTGGACGATGACTGTCAGTTTTCCAATAGTCGTTGGTGATGATGATAAATCACCAATCTTATCCAATGCGCCCCCTGCCACGGTTACGAACTCTACTGTTCATCACCCTACTCTGCTTCCAACTGTCCCAGGGTGTCTATGTGGATATCCGTCATCTTGATGATGAAGCTACTGCTGCTGTACCCAGTCCTACTTCAGAACATAAACGTCATGGATATCACAGGTCTGAGCTCATCGGTGCTTGGATAGTCATGACAGTAGTACCCCTAGCATGCATAGTCTTCTTCTGTGCTACAGCCCCTCGAGTTAGACAACGAGAGCTACTCTTCAAGTTGTTCCATAGAGATGGAGTGTACACTCAACCTTCGATGGTTGAGATGGAGGACTTGGAGGCTGGTCCTACTACACAGGGCCCCCCGAGGCAGAGTAGTTGGTGGGATAGGTTGTGGGGTCGGTCGAGGGCAGCAGCACAAGCCGGTACTGGTATGGCAGCGACGGTTATAGGGAAAGCCAAACCTGTGATAAAGACAGCAGCGAGGAAGATAGATCGGAGTAGAGTTGGTCGGCATCATAGAAAGCAGCGTCAACGTGGGTTTAGGCAACTCGATCATGCTCTGGATGATGATGACTATGTTAAATATAGTGTTTATGCTGATGAGGAGGATGAAGCCACTTTTGGTGGTTTGGACGGTCCATCCTCTCTATCATCTTGGTCATCATCCTCGTGGACTTCATCACCGAGCAACTCCCCTCGGGATGGATCACCACAATTATCATCATCGTCACCACCCACAGTGATTGTGGAGCCTCCGGCTATGGATCTTATTGGATATTATGATTATCAGGCGCAGGATGGGCAAATACATCAAGAATTCAGAGAGGAGGTCATACTCACCACAATAGAGGGTGTACAGGGAACAAGTGAGGAGGAGACCACAGTAAGGAGGGTATCTTTCCATGAAACTCCACCAATGGAGGAAGAGGAGGGTCCACAGATCACTGAGGTTACTGATGATAACAAAGACCCCTCCAATTGTGATACCACTACAATGACAGTGGAAGAGCCACCTGATGAGTCGCCAACGAGAGTGAAAGCATCGTCAGCATTTAGTGAGAGCAGTCGTAGAACTTCGGAGGTCATTTCGTCGGATGATGAAGGGAGGTACATGTCAGCTACCGAGAGTAATTGCTATCAGTCTTGCTCTGATGGATCGAGTTCTGATGATGAAGAAGAAGACGATGAGGAAGGGGTTGTCGATGCCGGGGATTCTTCATTCACTACTGAGACCAGTGATGTTATCACAGGAGGAGCTAGTAATAGCAGTAGTAATGATGATCATCATCATGGGACACTGACCATGACACTTGAGTCTACCCTCTTACGTCGCTTAGTGTC